CCATTTTTGGATAGGTGTAGCAGGTATTGTGCACAATTACCTGTAAATGAGGCCTGAACCTTTTGTTTCTCAGAGGGTGATAGGGTGCTCTTCATGAGGCTGCAGGTGTGGTTGACAAAGGTGGCGACATGGCATAAGGGTGCCACAGGGATCTGAGCCACGTGCCAAGGCAGAGGGGTGCCACAGGGATCTGAGCCATGCGCCAAGGCAGAGGGGTGCCACAGGGATCTGAGCCATGCGCCCAGGCAGAGGGGTGCCACAGGGATCTGAGCCACGCACCCATGCGATGTGGCAGAGGGGTGCCACAGGGATCTGAGCCACGCGCCTGTGCAGAGGGGTGCCACAGGGATCTGAGCCACGCACCTGTGCAGAGGGGTGCCACAGGGATCTGAGCCACGCGCCCATGCAGCTGTGCTTCACGATCATCCTGGGTGGAGCCCATTTCATCTCTTCAACTCTAGGACGGAGGGCTGCATTGGCTCTGTAGTCAGACAACACCCAGCTCATGGTGAAGAGTAACAATAGAGGAGAAATGGGGCAAACTCTCCCTCCCTCCCTGCAAAAAAGGAATCTGAAGTTTTAAAGAACATACCTGGCCAGGCGCAGTGGCTCAAGCCTGTAATCCCAGCACTTTGGGAGGCCGAGGCGGGTGGATCACGAGGTCAAGAGATTGAGACCATCCTAGTCAACATGGTGAAACCCCGTCTCTACTAAAAAATCAAAAACTTAGCTGGGCATGGTGACGCGTGCCTGTAATCCCAGCTACTCAGGAGGCTGAGGCGGGAGAATTGCTTGAACCCAGGAGGCGGAGTTTGTAGTGAGCCGAGATCGCGCCATTACACTCCAGCCTGGGTAACAAGAGCGAAACTCCGTCTCAAAAAAAAAAAAAAATATATATATACCTAAATCAGATCTATGAAGATGCTATTGATAAATTAAAATGAACAGACACTCTCTCAAGTAAGCAATAAGCTATGTTTCTTGTCACTAGGTCTTAGAGACTTTGCCTCAGGAATTTAAAAGCTTATCTATTACTTGCATCCAACATTCTCTTTACCTGTACCAAGTAAAGGTGTCTGTCCGTGCAGCTACAATAGCATACCTGAGGCTGGCTACTTTACAAAGAATGGAAATTAACTTGCTCACAGTTCTGAAGGCTGGAAGTCCAAGATCAAGGTGCTGGCATCTGGCATGGGCCTTCTTGCTATGTCCTCAGTGATTCTGATGCAGCTAGAGCTGGAGGACCGCTGTCAGAAAGTAAGAGAGAGCCGGCTCCCTCCAGCAAGCCCCTTGGCAAGGGCATTTAGTCTCCTGGCCTGGTCGCCTCTTAAAGACCCACTTCTTAATACGGTCCCATCGGCAACACCTGGGTTTGGGAAGGAGCATGTTCAAAGCTGTATGGTTTTAGTTGTATACAGCACAGCTGTATCAGGCTAGGCAGAAACATGATCTTGCACTGCCTTTATTTAGAGATTAACTATGGTTTAAGGAGATGTGTATGGGTACCAGAGTGACAAGGGGTGAACTTGGGATGGTGGATTTGGGGTGTCAAGGTGACAGGGTATTAAGGTCAGCTGGCAAAGCACCATTTATTCTCGTGCTTCAGTGGGCACAGGGCATGGCCCTCTGGTGTTAGAGTAGAATGATCATGCTGCCCCAGGGGTGTCTGTGTGGAAGTTTCCGGAGGAGACTGGCATATGAGTCAGTGGACTGAGTGGAGAAGATCTGCCCTCAATGTGGGTGGCATCCTCCAATCAGGGGGAGAGGGGGATGGAGCACAAGTGCAGAGGAAGGGTAGATTCTGGCCCATCTCCCAGAGCCGGGATGCCCTGTGTCTTCTGGTGTGCCACTGGACATTGGAACTCCAAGCTTTATGGCATTTAGACTTGGGGACTCCCGCCAGCCCCTGTGCACCACCCTCTCTGATGCTTGGGCCTTCTGCCTCACACTGAGAGTTATAGCACGGGCTTCCTTGGTTCTGAGGCCTTTGGATGTGGTCTGAGCCACGCTGCCAGCTTCCCGGGGTCTCCAGAATGCAGATGGCCTGCTGTGGGCCCCCCCAGCTTCCATAGTCAAGTGCGCCAATTCTCTGATGAATACCTTTCGGTTCTGTCTTGAGAAGCTTGGCTGAAACACTAGGCATTACAATTCCAAAAGTGGTCTCTTACTTCCTTCTTTAAATCACACTGCAAAGTTCAGTGACAAGATGTGCGTAAAAGGCCTCAGTCTGCAGGCATTCCCACACAAAAGGCTTTAGTGGCTCCAGGGAATTCCCTCAGTAAAAGTTAACACTGGGCACCTACTCTGTCCCAGGCCCTGTGCTGGGCAGCAGGGGACAGCAGCAGGCAGGAAACTGAGGTCCCTGCTCTGCAGAGCTTAAAATTTCGTGTAAGGAGGGGCTGAGTCTCATTGCAAGAAAGCAGGGGGCAAACCGCAGTGCACAGTCCTGCTCCAGGCCCAGTCGACAGCTCAGACCTGGGAGGAGCAGATCTACAGGGGTTTTCTGACTGTCTTGGTCAACATTTAACCCATGACTGAGGAGGAGTATTAAAGAATGCCCAGTGCATTTGGGAATTACACAAAGCTGGGAGAAACAGCAAATGCCTCATCTTTCGTTCATGATAGAGAGAAGCTGTGGGAACTGATGCTTAACCTTGGCCCGGCACATTGGAATCACCTGGGAGCTTGAAAAGTACCCCAGTGCAGTCGGATGCTTCCGGAACAGGCCTCGGTGTGTGCGTCTGAGCAGTCCTCATCTTCCGTGTGCCTTCATCTTGTCTGTCCGTCTGTCTCCACCGGGCGCTGGCCACGCTTTCTCCATGGCAGTTCTCAGGCTTCATTCTCACAGCAGCAGCAGCAACTGGGAATTTGTTAGACATTCAGATTCTCGGGGCCCCACTCCAGACTCACTGAATCAGAAACTCTGGGAACGGGACCCAGAAATCCACCCTTGAATGAACTCAGGTGACTCTGATGCGGCTAAAAGCTGGAGAACCACCTTCCTGGAATACCCTTTTCCCCCCAGATAGGACTCATCTTGCAAGACTTGGCTCATGTGCCCTCCCTTGCAGGACGTCCCAGCGCCCCAACTCCGGGTCCACACAGAGAAGTCCTAGCACGTCAGGTAGGAAATCGTGATGACTTTATGTCTGTGTCTCTGCTAGACCTTGGATTTCCTGAGAGATTTTTTTTCCCTATTCATCTCCATACTCTGGAGCCTTAAGTAGTACCTGAAACCTATTGGGAACTTCAAACTAGTCTTTCTCTTCTAGTGACAAAAGAAGAAAGTTCTGGCTGCCGTGCTGGGCCTCTGACCAGCTGCCATTCTTGCCCCAGGGCTTCCTGTGCTCTGCCTCCTGCTTGCTGCCGGCTCTTCTGCTTTTCTTTCTGAATTTGGAAACAGAAGTGGGGCTAAGTAGCTCCCCCAGCCAGGCGCAGATGCAGCTCCCCACTGAATGTCTAAGCATGGACACGTGCAAGTTCAGCTCTCCAGCTTCTAATGCAGCGAAGATTTGAGGAGGAGTTTCAAGACATAGCTGTGGAGTTTTAGGACAAGGACATTCTATTTACGTATTTTTGTCTCTAATTTGTCTTCTATAAGCCATATGCCACAAATGGGGATTAGGTTATAATCTAGTTTTTGATGTTCTAAGTGTAAGAATACTGAAAAATAGAACCTGGTTTACTGTTCCTCCTAAGCACTGATCGGGGCTGTGCTAGAACTTTCTCTTGGTGTGTGCTAGGACTCATCTCCACAGCCGTTCACTTTATTTAGCCCTCTTGCTTCTATGAAAATGGACAGTTTTACAAGGCAAATCTTTTTAATATTGGGAAGAATACTAGAAAGATACTTACTGAGCACTTACTACTCACCAGGCACTATTTTAGGTAATTTTGCATGAATTGTCTTATTTAATCCTCATCATTCTACCTTTTAAAATGGGAAGCACATTCTATGTTAAAACAAAAAAACAAAAAACCCAACCAAGCCAGAGTTTAGAGAGTCTAAGAGACTTGTTCAGGCCAGAGAGGTAAGACGTGGTAGTGGTAGAACTGTAGATGCTTATTCAGAACTCAGAGATAGGCTTGTCAGCACTTTTTCCATATACTAAGCTTGTAGGAGGTCCATGAAATAAAAATGAATTTAAATGTTCAATTCTGGTTTACTGACACTGATTTTAAATCGTTTCTAATTTTAAGGAATGACAGTGATGTCACACTTAGTGGGAAGAAATCGTATAATTCTAAGGGCTAGATTTATGCCAAGATTAATTATTTCCTAGTGTTCTGTTTATTTAGGACTTGACCAAAACCAGAATTTTCCAGATATACTGTTTTCTTTAGTAGGAAAAGAATCATTAGCTGAAACCGTTCTCAGACTATTCTGAACTGGCTAACATGGTGTCATAAACACTGGGCTTCACTCTAAGCACTCTGGTCCAGAGTTCAGTTTCAAACAATGGGCGTGCAGAACTGGGCGTTCCGAAATACTCGACAGCTTTCTTGTTTGCTCACTGGGGCGGGTAGATAAAGCCTCGCCTAGGTGCCTCTTATCTCTAGAATTCTGTAGATGTGTTAGGGGGCTGGGGGCCCGTGAACGTGTCCCTGGGATGGACCAGGGCTCTTCCTGCCTTCCAGCACGCCTTTCTTGTAAGATATTGAAGAGAAAGCAAACCCAATAATCAGGGAGTATTGGATGCCGTCTCTCCTGTAAAACTCTCAGATGAGTGGAAAATACGTAACAGCATTAAAATCCCCTTGGGAACAACTAAGGTTTCATGGCTCATCATCCTTACTTTGTAGAAGAGTAAATTGAGAAGGAAGTAAATTGGACAAGGCTGCAGATTGTTTATGATCAGCACGAAGTCCATTCATCTGAGCTAATAATGATCCCACACCACCTTCAAGGGGCTTGTCATTTGCATCAAGACTCACTTAACATCCACGAAACCAAGAGGAATGGCGAAGCCTCTGTCCACTCAACAGGAGTCAGAGGGAGGATGGGCCCAGGCGGAGGCTTCAGAAACTCTCCTCCGAGACCAGCGGGCAGGGCCGCACTGTGTGCTGGGGCCAGGAGGGAGCCCAGCTGGACGGCAGCGGCCGCAGTGGGAGGACCGCGACCGGGGGAGCGCGTGGGAGCTCGCGGAGCCCACAGGCTGCAGGCCTGGGCCGGGTGTCCCTCGTCCTCCATAAGATCCCATGGACGCTTAGGAGGCATCGTTTCCCCGCGCTGGTCTCTGTATTTCCACAGCGATTTCTATATACTTGTTTTGCACCAGAGACCTTCCCATTGGGTTTTCTTTCCATGTCTAAAAGCACCCGCCTTTCCCGCCACTCTGGAGTCTCCTGAGGCTGGAGGCCCGTCTCCCGCCTGCAGCCTGGCGTGGGGGTCGGGGCGCGCGTGGCCTCGCTGGGGGCTGGCTGAGGGTGGGCTGGGGGAGGAAGGCCAGGGAAGGGGAGGCGCCCGGGGCCCGAGTCACGTCGGGGGAGAGGCGCTGGAGCTCGGACCGCCCCGGCCGCCGCCGCCTCCGCCCCGCGTCCAGACCCTTCCGTCCGCCCCCCCCGCCCCGACGCACGTCCGCGGACCCCTCTCTTCGCCGCCGTCCCGAGCCCCCCGCGACGGGCCTCTTTCTCCAGGTCCCCTGCCTGGGCCAAAGAGGAACTCCCTGGCCCCCTACCCCGGCTTTTCCTCCGCGCTCGTCCGGGGCCCGCTCTTCTACGCGGGTGGGTCGCGGTGGCTGAGTGGGTGGGGCCGCGCGTCCCCTCCCTGCCCGCCTTGCTCGGGAGCTCGGAGGTCACGGCGTACGTGGCCTTTGCGTGGGGTGAGACGGGAGACCCGGGGCTCGGGCAGGAGACGCTCGGCCCCACCCAAATTTTGCGGCGAGCTTCGCTCCGCGCGGGTGGGCACTGGGAGACGCGGCCGCGAGCCTCAGAGGCGCTGGGAAGGTGGAACCCACGGGAGCTGCGAATGCCGCGCGTGGGCAGAGCGAACAGGAGGCCTCAAGGGGAGCCCAGGAAGGTGGGCCCAGGGTCAGGCTGCGGGGTACCGTGGGCCGGGCGAGGAGGTGCCGGGTGAGAGGAGCGGGGTGTGCCCCAATGAGTTGGGGCGGGGAGGTGCCCAGGTGGGGTGGGTGGGATGATGCCCAGGTGACGGGGTGGGTGGTGAGTTGGTGCCCACGTGTGGGGGCCAGGGTGGTGCTCATGTGAGGGGGGCTGGGCAGTGCCCAGGTACCAGCAGTGGAGTGGTGCACAATGCACAGGTGTGGGGGGGTAGGGCGGTGCCCAGGTGTGAGGTGGGGCCATGCTCAGGTACCAGCAGTGGGGCGCCAAGGTGTGGGCACGGAGTGGTAGGTATCCAGGTGCCCAGGTGCTGTGCCAGGTGTGACTTGACTGCAGGAGAGGAGTGAGGAGGGTGCTGTGTGGGGAAAGGCCAACTTATTTCTGTAAGAGAAAGCAAACTTTCTTCTTAGCTACAGATGAATAAGATATAATTAATTACATAATTATAATTATCTAGTTGTAGAGATAAAAATAATTTTTATTTAGTTAAGGGCTCCCAGTTAAAACTAGCTGAAAACAATGACAGTAAAATTCTATATTAGATGTTGCCTACTTATTAAATTCATTATTAAAAATATATACATCCTTAACTTGCAGTCCAATTGCCTTTCATAGGGCACAGATCTTCACAGCACCCAGTGTCGGCAAGTGTGTGCGCGACGCTTTTTCTGCACTTCTGTTCCTTTCTGTTTCTAATGGCCCAGCTGGCCAACTGTAGCAGGGGGGTCACGAACCTTATAGCGCAGCGGATGTGCTGGAAATTTCATTCACTTCACTTTGGGCTTGGACTTGGCTCTAAATGCTTGCTGATGAGAAGTTCTGTCTTTTCCTTGAATGATTTCAACTAGTTTCATTTTATGAAGTCTCCATTCAGTCATGAATATTTTCCCTAAAGTACCTTTGTAAATCTGTTTTTTAAAAAAATGCTGTAGTTTATTTGTGACAAACCATAAACTATATTTGAAGTTTTAGGTTAACTGAGAAAGCCATTTTAACTAATATTGCAGCAAAAATACTGAACAGTTCCAAGAAAGAGAGGATAAAGTACTTGTCATCCTCGTAATAATACAATTAAATAAGAAACATGTTCTTGTTCTTTTTTAAACTGGAGTTCATTAGCTTAGGGAAAGCAGGCTTCCTTACGTTCAGGCAGCCTTGACTGTGGGCCCCCCTCTCATGCTTGGCCCTCACCTTGCAGGGTCATCCATTCCCTGCCCCGCTCCGCTTTCCAGTGTCAGCCCCAGCCTCTTTCTTCCTCTGCTTAGGCCCTCCTGGTGGGATCCCACCTTGTCCCCTGGCCTCCACTGTCATCTGCACTGAGTGATGTCCCCAGGGTCCTCTCTGCCAGGCTCCAGGCCATGAGGCTGTGGGTGAGGCATGTCCCTCTGCACGACTTGCCTTGTGTTCTCTAAGCATGGCGCTCACAGCCCTCTGGCCTAGACGTGGGGCTCCTGCAGTGGCCCCTGGTTCAGCATTCCCATCACATCCACCCAGCTGCTCCTGTCATACACCTGGGCCTCATCCTCATCCCCTTTACTGAATCCACCCTATGTGATGACTTGAATCCTGTGGGTTCGCTCTTGAATCTGCCCTTTTCTCTTCACTGCACATGTGCCAGGTGGCCAGCACGATGTCCCACCAGGACCCCTGCAGTCCCAGTGCACCCACATGCTCACCTGGAGACCTGTCCTCACTGCCTGCTGCCTGTGCTGTGCAGAAGGACAGAGGCTAAATGAGGAAGCCTTGAGTTCTGGTCTTGGAAATGGCAGCCTGCCCACCACCCACGCCTGCCCAGCCTTTCTTCACACAGTACATAAAAGGCTCTTTTAAAATACAAGTATTATCCTGTCCTGTTTATGAGTAAAATGATCCCTCACAGTCCTGGTCTTCGAAGCCCCTGGGGCCTGTTCGTGGCAGCCTCTGTCAGTGTGGGCACAGGTGATGGAGGTTGGGGTGTGTGGCAGGCAGCCTTGGCCACGTGGGTGTGCATTCGGCCACAGTGCTTGGACACAGGGCTGAAAGCAGAGAGCAAAGCAGAAGGCATGGCATTCCCTGGCCTAAACTGCTTATTTCAAAGTAGGAAAAATCTTCTACATGTGACCAAGGGAAGGCTGGGAAGAGGGAGAGTGAGAGGAGAGGAACAGGAAACATAGACCCTGTGGAGGCTTTTGGGGTCCACTTACTCTGCAGGTGATGGAAGTTAACGGAGGCTCTTTGTCGGGGTTACTAGAATCAGGTTTGTGTGTAGGCAGACACCCCTGAAATTAAAGCGGGTTTCTTACAGAGGGTAGTGTGTAGCCACAGCCCTGGGGAGCTCAGCAGCTGCCCTGTCTGCAGGCATCACGGGGCTTGGAGAACCGGGAACTGCCTGATGGGACTGGATTCCTAATTCTGTTGTGAGTCTAAAGCCTGCAGGTGACTTCCAGGCTGAGGAAGCTGCAATGGTGGAGGGAACATGGCAGGAAGCAAGGGCTGGGGAGAGAAGGAGGAGCCTTTGGAGGCTGATGTTGAAGGCAAGCCTGTCTTTGGCCTGGGGTTGTGTCTGATGCTGGTGACGATTTTCAGGGCCTCCCTCCCCCGAGCTGCCAGTACATGTTGAAGATCCAGTCCTAGAGCAAATACATGGGGGGGATCACAGTCCCTGTCTTCAGGGTACTTCTGGCCTCATCAGGATGGGAGGTTGGCACAGGCAAAATTAAATCTGAACATTTGAATGCTGTGCCTCGGTGCTCAGTCCACGTTGCTGGGTTTCTGGATGTCTGTTACCTGGAAGATGGAATAGAAGAAGACTTTCTCAGACATAAAATGCGTTTGTAAAGTGGAATCTCCTCTCGGTTTACTTCAAGATGTGTTAAAAAGTGGGCATCATACTTATAAATCTCCGAACCCACAAATTAGTAGTAATGGTGTGTAAGACTGGAGAAATGTTATTCCTGACAAGCAGTGGAAAGAAACAATAAAAAGTTACTTTATCTCTAGATGGTAGCGATTTTAGAATTTTCTAAGAAAGTTTCCTGGTTTCATGCTGGCCTTTTTCTGTGGTTTGTCGTTAAGACATGGAGCGTGGAATCTTCTGCAAGGGTTATGCACTTGGGCACTGACGTCCCTTCACTACCCACTGCTGAGCACGGTTGGAAATTCACTCCCAACAAGAGTTCCACGGCAGGCACCGGGTCAGCTGTGGCAGAACTGCACCTTTTAATTGCAGAATGCTGAAGAGTCACTCGCTAGCAAAGACTGGCTTTTCAGGGGCGATTTTATAGCACTATTAACTCAGAGGCACCATTACTTAAATGTAATTTTTATTATTACAATTAAAGACTGATTTGATTTTATGAGATCATGCATTTTTATTTTATGGAAGTTTTATAGTTAAATTCAATTTAAAATATTACTCTATTTAAAGTAAAATACAAGCAAGTACGATATTAAAATAATACCATACTTCACTTGCAACTGATGTGAAAACTTCCATGCACGTGATTACTTTGGTGGAAACAAATATTTCCTGATGCAACCAGGCAGTGGCTCAGTGAAGGCAAACTTGGCTGATTCTGTTTGTGAAGTTAGCAGAAGTCTCATGAAATTTACTGTCAGTTTTTTTGTGTGAAACATAAAAGTTGATTTCTTCTCAGTCGATTCTCAGAGGAAGGAATTTCTTTGGGTCAAAGGGAACTCTCATTGTTACTTCGGTGTTTGCACAGTGCAGGGTTGTAAAAGTTGAGACTAGCCTCTCCGAATGCCAGCGTCTGGTCCTGACATTTCACGGGGAGAGGACGGCTCGTGAACCAACCGAGTTGTGGTTGTGTGACTAAGGCTTCTGTAGCTCTGATGTTGCCATCCAGGCCGACTTAAGACTTGGGAAGTTTCTTTGTGAGTTTTTGGCAGATTTTGAGATTTTGTTTTTGATGGAGGAAAAGAATGTGAAGGAGTGTTTGCACTAAATAGATTAAGCTGTTAGTAAACATGTGCCCTTTAAATTAACTGCTGAAAAGGACAAAGAAAGTGCTTTGTCGTTGTCAACTGGATTTGTCTGAAGTCACAGAGACAAACAGGTGAAGGGGCAGTCCCTCTTCCACTCCCTCATGGAAAGCAGAGATTAAGCTGTGAAACCAGGAGAAGCCGAATTGGATTCTTCCTCGCATTTATTTTGGCAAAAGCTTGCTCTTCTTTCTCTCACTTGCCTTTCTTGCGACGGAAGCCTGGTTTTTACAGTCAAATTAGCGCAGGAACAAATATTGCTCAGGAATGTGTCCTTTCAAGGTTCTTAGCACTTGTGATGAGTAAGTCCCTGCACAGTAAGTGGCTGGAGACACATCCGTGTGGCAACCCCAGCTTCTCAGCTGGCTGGAGGAGAATTAATCTCACTGTCAGCACTGCTGGACAGAGCGCGCCATTCAGAGTCAGGGACGATGGGTGGGCCAGGCCCTTACAGGGGCTGTCCTGGAATCGGGTGCTGGCCTCCTGGGAGTGTGCTGCTTTAGTCACTTGCACCTTCCCTAGTTAAAAAAAAATGAGAAAAAAGAAAGGATAGTAGGTTTACAGGGACTTTGCTGAGACACTTTTGGTCCTGGGAAATGAGGTAAAGTCCAAAGGAATCCTAAAGGAGGAGGAATGGAGACCCACAGGGGAGGAGACGGGCTGTCCTAGGAGGAGGAATGGAGACCCACAGGAGAGGAGACGGGCTGTCCTAGGAGGAATGGAGACCCACAGGGGAGGAGATGGGCTGTCCTAGGAGGAGGAATGGAGACCCACAGGGGAGGAGACGGGCTATCCTAGGAGGAGTGGAGACCCACAGGAGAGGAGACGGGCTGTCCTAGGAGGAATGGAGACCCACAGGAGAGGAGACCCACAGGAGAGGAGACGGGCTGTCCTAGGAGGAGGAATGGAGACCCACAGGGGAGGAGACGGGCTGACCTAGGAGGAATGGAGACCCACAGGGGTGGAGACGGGCTGACC